TACCTGTTGAGTTCCCAGTTCTTTGCTTTGGCCTGATCCAGCCCTGGCTTTCACGAAGTTTGGATAGTGAGCCAACAAATGCAAAAAGTTGGTTGTTTCTCTCTCTCTCTCTTTCTCTCTGACGTTAGTCTTTATTCCCTTTGAACTAATTATACAAATTATATTAATATACTAATTATACAAATAAATTATCTTAAAAATAATGAATTACTTTTCAAAAGAAGCTACAGGAGCCAGCATTCTGGCTTTGTGGGTTAAGCCACGGCCTACAATGCAGACATCCCATATGGGTGCTGGTTCAAGTCCCAGCTGCTTCATTTCAGTCAAGCTCCCTTTTAATGTTCTTAGGAAGTCAGCAGAAGATAGTCCAAGTGCTTGGACCCTTGCACCCGTATGGGAGACCCAGAAGAAGCTTCTGCCTTCTGGTTTCTGACTTCACCCTGGCTCAGCCCCAGCTGTTGCAGTTATTGGAGAGTGAACCAGTGGGTGAAAGATGTTTTCTGTAACTCTGCCTTTCAAATAAATAAAATAGATATTTTTAAAAATGGAACAAGCTGGATAGGGCATGATAATGATAGCAGTTGTATTTGGGTGCTTTCCACACATGCCTCTTTAAAAAAAAAAAGATTTATTTTTATTGGAAAGTCATATATGGAGAAGAGGAGAGACAGAGAGGAAGATCTTCTGTCCTTTGATTCACTCCCCAAGTGGCCTCAATGGCTGGAACTGAGACGATCCAGAGCCAGGAGCCAGGAGCTCTTCTGGGTCTCCCACACGGGTGCAGGGTCCCAAGGCTTTGGGCCATCCTCAATTGCTTTCCCAGGTCACAAGCAGGGAGCTGGATGGGAAGCAGAGCTGTGGGGTCACAAACTGGCACCTATATGGGAGGCAAGGGCTTTAGTGACTAGGCTACCACGCTGGCCCCTCTACACATACTTCTAACATTCCAATAACACGAGACATTAGGAATTACCATAATCCAGATCTACAAATGAGAACACTAGGGTTATGGCCATCCCAAGGTCACACAGTTATAAAGTACTAGAAGCAAAATTCTAGCCCACGTTTATAAACTCCAAAGTACATGTTCTGTTCTTAGAGGATATGATACTGCCACATAGTTGAGCACTCATGATAACAAGCAATTTGTCCTTCCAGGAAAAGGGCATGAGCTCTTACTCCATTTTGTAGTAACAGCACGTGCCAAATGAAAGAAGGCATTTGAAATGAAATGCACTATGAGAGTTCAAGGTGGATAGCCAGTATCCACTCCAGAGGACTAACCCAGAGACCTGCATACATGTCAATTGTGTATCAGTGCTCATATGTCATTGAGGTATACAAATAATGTCTCCTCTATTTTAAAATTTTTTTAGTTATAAGGATGTTTTCCTTAGCTGTTCCTACTGTGGTAGTCTTACACCATCTCACCCTTAGCTTTACAACAAAGTCCACAGAGTCATTTATTATTGCAGATGCCCATTTTAATACCAACCTGCTCTGGCACCTCCAGGGACATTAGATCTCACAATAGGAGTTCTTTATCTACGCTGCTTGCCTTATCACTGCTTGTTCCACACAAGAAACTGCTGCTCCCCATGCCCTCAAACCTTGAGCCCACTGTGGGCATTTTTGCCTTCTGTACTGAGAGCCATAGATTCCTAGACATCCTCTGGCCCACCATCCATTACCTCCAAGTCTCATTTCAAACATTAACCTTTCAAATCCCTTGGCCATCCATTCAAAATTCTTGTCCCTAAATCATTATAGTCTAAGTTTTCTCTCCCTTACCCCACAATACTCATCAGCATTGCATGAAACTTTGGTAAAAACTCTATTGCTACCTTAAACATTAAGATATTATTATATATAAAATTATTAGAACAGTCTGTGAAGTGAAGGAGCAACTGACAATAGTGTAAGAGAAATAAGAATGTTGGGGCCTGGTGGGGAGTAAGGGAATTTCGTGATAGAAGGCAACTGAATAAATCTGTTAAACTTTTGTGTGCCAAGAGAGGCTGGATTGAGATGGGTTCCAAGAGGACCTCCAATATCCACACACAAATAGACGTAGTGAGATGGGCCTCCCCAGTAGCCCTGAGTGTAAGTTTGAGAGGTTAAAGTTAGAAGAATGTTATCTGCTCTACCGTACACCTTGGGCTCAGCTAGCTGCAGTGCAGTTTGGCTCTCACTTTTCAGCATGTTTGCTTTAACAAAACACTTAACAGCTGTGAGCTTGTACATCTGTACAAGACACGTCTTGATTTAGCAAATCATTTCTAATAGCAGGCACTAAGGTTTTCCTTGCTTCTTTTGCTATCAGAACTATTGCCAAATGGCCTTTCAAGTAGCTTGGAAATTTTATTTTATTACCAACAATGTTTAAAATTAATAGAGTCCACTGACATTCTTAAGTTACATATCTTTTTTTTTTTCCAATCAAAGAAGCAGATTTATGTTTGTCTTAAATTGAAGGGTGAAACAAGCTGTCTTTTTAGGCTTAATGTAGGTCATATAGCAGAAATGCCATTTTTAGTACCATCAAACCTCAAAATTCTGCATTTTATCTCTTCACTTCTGTATTTGCCCCTATAATGTAAATTCTAGATCCTATCATTCCAATCTATTTTTAATTCATTTGGGAGACTTGTGGGTAAATCGCTGAAGAGTTGTAATGGAAACATTTAAATACTGTCTTGTTTACTATCTAATTATAATGAAATAATCAAAATAATATGTTGCAGAGAAAATAAGTTGTTATTATCTAAGCTTCAACCAAATGTGAAGTGATATCTAAGGAGTAAGTTTTAGAAAGTCTAACTTTAAAGGCTATGATAATATAAAGATAAATCAAAATTCTCTGATTTCCATATTAACATCCCCAACTATATAAATAGTCTTTAAATTCTTTGGCTTTGATTCTTATGACCAAAGGTAACAGCTGCTTTCAAAAGCATTGTCTACTTGGTGAGTTTCTCCATTTCAGAAGACATAAGTTTTGGTGCTGAAATCTTTGGGAAATATATGTTATAGATATTTTTCTGGATTTTTTTCTTCATATTTTTCTTAGTATCTCACAAATTGAAAATTAAGTATGAGCAGTTTTAATATATTCTGCCACAAAATAGAAGGCTACGAAAATAAGGAAACTGAACATAGGAGTATCCTGTTGATATTAACTTTCCTGAGTGTTAGAATTGGTGATCATTGTTACTTACATCAGCTGTGCCTACTTACTGTTAACACTTACTTCATATAAGAATGACATTTAAATGTAATACAGTATCGTCAGTTGCACACTAAGTTTTAAAAATGAAAAAGCCTGGGGCTGGCTCTGTGGCGTGGTGAGTTAAGCTTCTGCAACACTGGCATCCACATCTCATATTAGAGTGTGAATTCTAGTTCTAGGTCATCTACTTCCAATTTAGCTACCTACTATTGCACCTGTAAAAGCAATGGATGATGACCCAATTACTAGGGTCCCTGCAGTGCACTTGGGAGACCTGGATGGAGTTCCAGGATCCTGGATTGTGCCTGGCCCAGCCTGGGCAGTTGGGGCCATTTAAGGAGTAAAGTAATGAGTATAAGACGTAACTGTCTGTCTCTCCTTTAATCTCCACTACTCTGCCTTTCAAGTAATATAAGTAACTCTTTAAAATATAAAAGGCTCTAAAGAGCATGTGGGTAACTGGGGAAATCTGTTTGTGGGTCAGTATTACATAGTGTTGTGTTGATGTTAAATTTCCATGATGCTGTATTACATAGAAGACTACCCTAATTTTTTAGGAGATTTAGGCATGTCACATGGGGTAACATGTTCAAAATACAATCTCAAACGGTTCTGGGAAAAATATGTATGTGTATGATAGAATAAATGTGACAAAATGCTTAATCTGCATGATGGAAATATGGGTGTTCATTATGCCATTCCTTAAATTTATATTTATGTTTGTAACGTTTCAAAATAAAAATTTGATGGCAACTGTATCTAGTTGATGAAGCTGCATGCGTTTACATCATATAACATTTGTTAAGAGCCTGGAGAGTGTGTCTTATGCATTTAAATTATTTATTATTTATATCATTAGCAGTATCCCAATGACCTGAAATAATTAGGTCAAAGATTGCTTTGCTCTAAGATTAAATCTACACACTTGCTTTGTGTATCTCAAAATTTATCATCATGTTTATCATCGTTATCTATTTAGCACAGATTTCAAATGCTCTTCACTTTTATGAAAAGCTTCTCAATCTCAAAAACAATCTTCTCACACTGGCCTATACAAGAAATGTTATAAAACTATTAATGTTCCATTCATACCAAGCGCACATATGTAAGCACAGAAGAATAAATATTTGTGCATTACTATAGATAATTCAAAATTCCACCCATGCTTGCACTGTCTTTACTATCAAAAGGCAGCCTTTCCTCCTAGCACTCAGATGAAAGTTTGAAAAGTATCATTACTATAGATTCCATTCACAGGGAACATGTGGTGCTACGTAGGAAACACTATAACTAACTCACTGAGTTGAATAATAGAGAGCTAAATCCAATTGGAGTACACTATGATTGTGTTCATCTCTGAGACTACATCATTGTAAGTGAAGTCAAGAGCTGTGTTTTACCTTCAAAATTCTTCTTTTGCTAACAGAAGCTAAACCACTATAGCAGTTAGCAAAGGAGCACTGAATAAATTGTGCAATGAACATTTGGTCAGAAGAGTTCAAAACGTTACGTGCAAAGAAATAAAAGACAAACTGTCTTTTAATGGTCATGGAGAGATAAGAGAAGTAAGTCTTTGACTTAGTTTCTCTTTATTGTCCACAGCATGCTTACTTAAACTCCTGCTCTTCTCTAATCTGGTAAACTGGGAGAACTTTCTAGGTGTCAGAAGGTCAATACCGAATTCTGGTGATAAAAAGCAAAGAAAGTGTTAGAAGGGAAATGAGAGAAAATGGTAGCAGCATTTCATGGCCTTTTGCCTTTCTTTTCTTACCTTCACTAACCAGCTTCGTTAGGTCTGGAGAGTCACAGCAGTTAGCCCAATAGAGGTGACGGCGCCAGCCAGTGTTCTTCCAGCAAAGTGTACAGGCCCTTCACTAATAAAATCAGGAACCTACGCAGCTTGCAGCATCATTACTCTTTTTATAACTAATTCCACGGAAAAAGAGTTGTTTTCTCTCAAGTCTGCTTGAGCTAAAGTGGTGGGAAGTCCCAGGAAATGGGGAGGCAATAACTGACAAACCCACAGCGAACCAGAGTGGTGTTTCTTCCCTTTTTTGAAAAATGAAACCTATCTAGTGAAACTGACTGTTACTAAAATAGTTTGTTGCTGCACGTTATGTAAGAATACTATCAACACAATTAAATTTTCTTCATTTAAGAACAGATTCTCTGGAAATTTGCCTAGTGAGAGATAGTTACTATCAGATATGACTTTAGAAAATTCTATTTAATCACTTAGATCTCTCTGTCTACTTCTCTCACTCTACCTCCCTCTTTCTTCCCCTCCTTCCCTCCCTCCCTCCTGCTTGTAACTATGACATTCAAGTAAATAAATCAATGTTTTTAAAGTACAACTGAAAACTTTCCCTCTCCAATTACCAAAAGTCAGAATTTTGATTAATATGGTGTTTAGACAAGGTTGTGAAGAAACAGGCATTCTAATACACTGTTGATAATCTTATAAATACTTTTAGAGAACAGTTTCTCAGTGTCTATGAGAATTTCAGCTATCCATATTCTTGACCCAACATTCCAGTTTTCTCACAAGAACATAAGTGAAATGATACTTGTTGCAGCATTGCTAGAGAAAGCAAAGGACTGGAAAAAATAATATTAGTAAATAGTCTATTAGCTAAATAAATGTATATCCCTACTGTATAATACTGTACATGCAGTTGTTATAGTAAGATGGTTTTATGTCCAGTAATAGGAAAATATATCTAAAATACCTTGTTAGCAAAAATTTATATTCCAGTTTTTATTTTCAGGAATATGCATTTGTGTATATATAAACACACTTTTATACTTCAATGAGGGACTTTAAAAATTGAGTGAAAATGCACATTGTCCTTTTAATTGGTAAAGATGGTGAGGTCCCACCTGCTAGTTCACTGAACTGCCAGCCAGAGCTGAAGCTGGACCAGCAGCAAAGCTGGTGGCCAGGAACTCAGTCTCGATGTCCCATGTGAGTGGCAAGAAACCAGTCAACTTGAGCTATCACTGCTGCCATACGGGTCTGCATCAGCTAAAAGCTGCTATCAGAAGCAGAGTCGGGCATGAACCCCAGACACTGGCACATGGCAGGTACCTAAACCTGCATCTTGATTAATAGGCCCAATGCCCATGCCCCTTCACGTTATCGTTTAATTAGATTTAACATGAATTTTGGAGTGCTGCTTTATATGATAATTTATATAACAGAATTTTTTTCTTTACAGATACACAAGAAATTAGGGAAAAATTTTTCCTCTTAGGAGTGACACTTAGGGGTAAAGCATGCTTTGCAGCACAGTGGATTATTCCTGCCTATATCACCAGTATCCCTTATTGGAGCAGTAGTTTAAGTCCCAGCTGTTCCAATTCCAGTCTAGCTCCCTGCTGTTATGCCTGGAAAAGCAACAGAGAATGGCCTGAATGCTTTGGTTCCTGCCACTCATGTGGCAGGCCTAACTGTAGTGCCAGGCTCATGTCTTCAACCTGGCCCAGACCTGACCATTGCAACCATTTGGGAAGTGAACCAGCAGATGGAAGATACTCTTTCATTCATATTCTCTCTCTCTCTCTCGCTCTCTCTCTCCATCTTATATCACTCTGCCTGTCAAATACATTAAAATTTTTGTTTTAAAAAAAATGAGTGAGACTTGGGACAGGCATCTGTTGCAATGGTGAAGATACCTACGTTTCATGTCAGAATGCCAAAGTTACCCAATTCCAGCTTCCTGCTGTTGTGCACACTGGACGGTAGTGGTTATAACTGAAGTGGTTGGGTCCCTTTCACATACATGGAAGACCCAAATTGAGTTCTCCACTCCTGGCTTCAGCCTGCCACAGCCCCAACTGCATTTGGGGGGAAACCAGCTTATGCAAAATCAATCAATCAATCTCTCTCTCTCTCTCTCTCTCCAACTCTTTCTCTTTATTTTCTATTTTTAAAGATTTATTTGTTTTTTATTTCGCAGTCATATTTACAGAGAGAAGGAGATATAAAAATATTCCATCCACTTGGTTCACTCTCCAGGCCACTCCCTAAGTAGCTGCAATAGCTGGAGCCAAGCGAATCAGAACCCAGGAGTCAGGAACCAGGAGCTTGTTCCAGGTCTGCCACATGTATGCAGGGTCCCAAGGCCTTGGACAGTCAATTGCTTTCCTAGGCTAGAGCAGAGAGCTGGATGGGAAGTGGAGTGGCTGGGACTTGAAGCAGAGCGCATATGGGATCCTGGCACATGCAAGGCAAGGATTTTAGCCACTAGACTACCATTCTGGGAACCCTCTTTCTCTTTTTGTGTATGATTGTATGTTTCTTCCTATGACTATTTGTTTCTTTTTCATTTTTAAAACTGATATTTTAAGATATATTTAATTTTGTTTGATTTTACAATTCAAATTTATTATGATTTTTTTTCTTGAGAACAGGCAAGTCTATCTGCAAATTGGCACCAAAACCAAAGTATTGAGATTCAGAATAATTTAACTGATTTATCCTGTCTGCTCCAAGTTAGCCAGCAAATGCTAACCATGTGCCATTGTTAGCTACTTCATTATCTTTTTCTGCTTTCCTCCAAAGCTAAGTTGCAAATCCTTAACTTTCACTTAAGAGTTTGATTTTGATTTTTCTTATCTTTGCTCAGTGACTTAACTAAAGAAGTCCTATTTGTGAAAGTATAATGGAGTTCTTATTTCTGCTAACAAAAACTTTCATGACTTTCTGCAGTATTTCATAGAACATTACTTAGATATAGTTGAAAAGGCAGGATCCTCCATATGAGCCATAAGGACAGTTTCTCAGCTAGTCTCGGATATAACTTGGCCTGCTGCCACAAAAATATGCAGGCTGTTGCTCCAGAAGTTTCAGTCACAGTGTGACCCTAGAGTAGATACCCTAAGTGCAAGACTATCCTACTTCCAAGAAACTGTCTGGTGGATTCTCTAAGAATGCCCCTGAAAGTGCCAGGAAATAACCATTGTAAGCTGATTCCAACTGTTCCAGGTTGCTTTAAGTCAGATTCAGCTTTCTTCTCAAATATAATATGTAGTCTTTTGATTATACTCACTCTTGATTTTGTCTGTTAATTACTCCCTTTATGGAGACCATCCTTTGCAGGAAATTTTTTCTGTAATCAAGAAGTTGCCACTGTATCAGATTAGCTTACCATTTCTGTTGTGATAAATCCTGAGTGTAAGAAATTGGCTTTGAATATGTTTCCTCTTTGCTGAGTGTAAGAAAATAAAATTATATCATTTGTAGCTAAAATCTTGTAATAATGCTGATCTGCTGAATGGTGAAGATTATTTTGATACCATTTTTATTACCCAATTGCAATTGCTGATATAAAAACATCCACCAGGTCATTATTTTCTTTAAAGTATCATCTGCACCTAGCTTACTACCAGTTCTTACTGAATTTCTTCCACTCTGAAGTGTGCTCTCTGACCACTTAGAATTTAATTTCCTCTTCCAGTACTCAAATGACTCACCTGAACCTGTTGTTTTCTCAGTTTCCAATGTTGCTTCATCATATTGTCTAATGGCCTTTGTCTAACCCTGTGCCACTTTGGGGGGAGTTAAATGAATAAATATTATTTTATTTAACTTAAAAAGGTTTCAGTCATATAAAATGAATAGATTTTACATTTTTCATGATGCAAATTTAGAATTAGAAGGTTCCTTTATCATGCTCTTACTGTTTTTTCCAAGTGATTATAATAACATAATCATTGATTTCACACTAACAAACTTAACTTTCAAATATATAAATGTGTCATGGCTTGGAAAGGAGAAGAAAAGGAAAAAATAAAATAGCATGAAAGTATAATAAGAAATAAACATGGAAATCCTACTATTGCTCAAAGGTAAAGATACATGCTGGACACAGGAATTAGTTCCCAATATGCTAATCTCACCTATAGAGATTATATTTTTGTGTTGTGTTTATTAGTCACAGATCAATAAGAACATGTGATTTTTTGGACTGGCTTATTTGCGTTTGAGTCATTTTTGAGAGTTCTACATTTTTTGACCGTGTTCACTGATGTCCTGCCTTAATAGTTTTTTTTTTAAAGAGTTTGTATGAATGGTTAAAAGCTATGCATGCTATAAAAATACAGTGAAAATTAAGCCTTTCTTCCTATCTGATCTCTAGCTTTAAAGGTTCCCATTCCAGAAACAATCACCAGGTCAGCTTCTTGAGTATCAGTCCAACAATTAGAGATCATCTGTGCTACACAAATAGTAGGATGTTTCGTGCACTATTCTTTCCTGTGCCTTTTATATAAATATTTCAACATTAATACTTGGTAGACCTCAGTCTGCTTCATAGCTGCATAGACTTCCAGTGTATGAATGCTCCAGTAGGAATGAATCTAGCCAGATCTTTATTGATGACAGCTTCTCCTTCAGGAAAGTCTCCCATCTACAATCCACTAATGATTTTCCCTCTTCCCCACTCTCTCCTTTCTGTTCCCATTAATTGATTCCTGGAACTAAACTTCCTGGTATTTTTAAGCCCCTATCTTGGTGAATTCATCACTTGTCACACTTTGCATTATACTGTTTGGGTCATCTGTGCATAATTAATCTGCAGTCCAAATGTGTCCTTCTTAGGATCACCCCAGTTCTGTTAATGGGCATTTGACTAGCTCACATAAATAAGGCAAAATTGTAACCTTTTGACTCACAAATTCACATCATTGTGTATCTTTGTGGCATTACTCAGCCTCAGTATCTTAAAAACTACTTTGATTTCACCTTAGCTCAGATCTCTTCAATTAGTCACCAGTGTTCTTGCCAAGACCATACAATAGACCATTGATATATATAATTAAGTTTTTTTTTTTACATTTTATTATTGTTACCATTTTTATGATACAGTTCCATATTCCCTTATCCCCTTCCCAATTCCCTCCCCACCCACCTAGTTCCTTTATATCATTACTAACATATAGTTCTTCATACTCAGTCACATGTCCATCAT